GAAACAGTACTATATAACATTTTAGACACATTCTAGACAGTTTATCAGCTAAAAAAAGTTAATTTTGGGGTAAGTTACTCTTTAAGCATCATCATGCTTTACAACTGCTGTTAAGAAGTCAAGACGCACACGTATGCAACCATGTCCACAGTGTGAGAACACTTTTCAATGGAAAACAATGATGCTGAAACTGCATCTTGCAAAATCTGCAAACTGGATGTTTCTCGTGGTGGGAACAGCAGGGCTCGCTTTAATGCTACCAACCTTGTCACTTGGAAAGAAATAAAGAAATAAAGCTATCGGATCAGTGTTGGAAAGACTAATCACTAAACAAATTGGATTGTATCACGAGCCAAAACATCTGGATCGGGACCTCCCTAGTACTGTGTTATGATCTGTGATAGTACATTGTACAATGTAGGCAAAGTATGGAGAGAAAACTGTCGTAATATTCAACGTTTCTTTACCACACATCCAAGCTCTCATAAACCTCAGAATCCTTTCCTAAAACAGGAAGTGGTTGTGTCTTGAAACTTGATTTATCTCTTATATACAGCGTGCGTGTGATGACCAGACATTTCTACCACCCAGGATTTTTATCTGTTTTCACAATATTTAATTGTTTAAGGCTTACTTTCTAGACTGTTTCTGTCTACCTGGCTTTATAGAGAGGCTGTGTTTAAATTGTTTACTTTTTTGTACATGTTTTGGTATTTTGAACTAGGGGTGTACCGATTTCCCTAATTTTGGGAGATCTGAGATCGTCCGATACTTAAATAAGATCGGTGGGAAAGATCGACTTCTCATCTTCCTCCACAAAGCTGTGAAAATCAGCCACGGTCCCCTTTGCTCTGCTGTGAGAACTAATGTCCAGTTAAAACTAGTTTGTATTGTTTCAAGGGTGTTGTTCAGTGTTTTTCAGTGTTGTATAAAGTACCACAAAGTGATACTTGAGTAAAAGTACAAGTATCTTACCAAAAAATTACTGTGGTAAAAGTTAAAGTCTCCTTTAGGAATATTACTTGAGTAAAGGTATTAAAGTACCTGATATTTTTTTACTTACGTATTAAAAGTAAAAGTGTTGATTTAAAATGAGCAGTTAGATTTTCTGTAATGACATTTATTAGGAGGTGACCTCCCCAAAAAATGCAGAAATTACTATATTGTATTAAAATAATGTTTAATGTATAAATTTATGATGCACTAATCCAGCTGTTTCAGTTTATTTACATATTTCAAGGCTGCACAAACCTTTTCTCCAAAATGAAAATCTATCTGAGGGCTGTGGCCAAATGTCATAATATAATTCATGAAATACTAATACTTCTTAAGTACAGTCCTTTTATTTTAATGTTTATAGCCTGCTGGAGTGTGACATGATTTGTTTGTGTACAAACTAATACGGTATCAGAATTTTATATATTTATACTTCTCATTAAACCACAATTAAATTCACTCTATCTAGGAGGCACAGTTTATGTGGATAGTTTTATTTTTTTACAGTCTGGAATGAAAACAAGCAAAAATTAAATAAAAGTAACGACTTTCTGCCTCTTGCCTTTTTTAAAAATGTAAGGAGTAGAAAGTACAGATAACTGTGTGAAAATGTAAGAAGTAGAAGTAAAAAGTAGGCTGAAAAATAATTACTTAAGTAAAGTACAGGTACCCAAAATTCTACTTAAGTACAGTAACAAAGTATTTATACTTAGTTACTTTACAACTCTGTGGAACATTGAAGGTGTGACCTTATAACACCCGAGAGTGTCGGGTTTTAAAAAGTTGGAATCAGCAAGTCAGACTTTTTAAAGATTGGTAATCGGCCAGAAAGTCGGTGAACACTCTCCATAAAGAAACACTTGTGAGATACACTGGAAGACACACCTGAATGTGAGGTGATGGACAAGATAATTTAGCTGTTTTTTGGCTGGGGAAATGTAATATTTCTCTTCATGAAACTTGCACTCTTGTTGTACAGTTTTACACAACTACAAACTGTACACAAACCTTCAATATACCAGTAATCTGTAATAACATGAACTACAAAACATTTCAATGGTGCATTATGGTCCAGTGTAGTATTCCTCTGTACACTACTTTTTACTAAACCATGTGACGGGTTTCTGTTTCACTGTACTGTGGATGAAAATCTACAGTAAAGATTTAGAACTACAAAATATCCAACTCACTGTACAGTGAGTGAGTGGTCAGTTCAGACACAAGTGTGTGGTTACCACTAATGAGCCACTGGCAGCAGCTTTATTAGTTTGTTTGTTTTTAACACGTCTTATAGTTTACATCAAATTAGTTTGTTTAAATCTGAAACCGTGTGTTTTATGTTTCCAGGCTAAAGCAGAGGAGGAGGAGGTGGACCACACCCCGTGGGGGGAGCTGGAGCCGTCCGATGAAGAATCGTCCGAGGAGGAAGAGGAAGAGGAGAGCGACGAAGAGAAGCCAGACGAAACTGGATTCTTCACGCCCGCTGATAGGTGCTTAACATGCAAATTACTGTCAGCAATTAGGTGAAGATGATGGGAGGAGAGACTGTGTGAATCCTTTTATGGATTCTTTTCAAAGAGCTGTGAAATAAGATGGCAGTTTTATGTTATTGTCATTAGTCCTAACACACACACACACACAGAGGGATTTTATCATTTTGCCTTGTGTGTTTCAGTGGGCTGATCACACCTGGAGGCTACTCTACGGTCCCAACCGGGATGGAGACTCCAGAGATTGAGCTCAGGAAGAAGAAGATTGAGGAGGCCATGGATGGGTAAGATTTGTCCCATATTCACCGCTGTTAGCAGGAAGATTTAGAAATCAACAGACAGAATAGTGATTACATGAATATAAAACACTGCAAAATTGATTATAGTGTATTATTGACACATAGTGGACCAGAGTGTAGCTGTAGACCTATGAGTTGAATGCAGATGACCCAAAAAAGCAAGGTATTGCTTGCACAGCTAACCAAAATGTTAGCTTCACTAACCACTAATCCACTAAACAAGAATCTTAGCTCCGCTAACGCTAAGCCACTTAATAGATTACAAAATTAGCAGAAGCTAATTCTAACGTCATTATGAATGTCCGGTTTTCATCTCCTTCCAGTTGAGACTGATGCTAATTTTTGTTAGTTTGCTACTGGTTTAATTTGAAAGTGGGCGGGATTATCTTTGGCGAATCGACCAATCCAAACCAGAGTTAGCTCAGTCTGACCTATGACACTTCTAGTTTCAGATTAAAAGCATTTCTAGATCAAATTTGTATTTTTATAAATATTTTTTAAAATTAATCAAACAACAAACAGCAATCTGCCGTTATTTCATTTCTTTTTGACGCTCTTAGTTTAAGTTTAGCTGCTAAAGATGCTACGTGCTACACACACGATGCCTGACACGTTCAGCACTGCTTGTAAGAGAGGATAGCTTTTATTAAATTCTCGATAAATGCCATAAAAATAGAAGTTTTACACTTAAGATGTTTTCAGTGGATCTAAAATTAGCAGAAACTAATTAGTTTGCTAACAGTTTCCAAAGTTGGACAAAAAAGCTAATGCCAGGTTCACGCAGCAAGATAATTATGCAGATTTTTTGCCCGATTTTGACTTTCCAACAATCGTAAAGATGCCCTGAATATGGTGACGTCTCTGAAGATAATCTTATGTCTGTGTTATGTTAAGTGATTTAGGCATAATCTGCTAAATCAGAAGCTAGTTCCATTAACAGAACTGTGCCCTCTGCTGTGGTTGKACATGGGCTGTTTGAGATTTAACCGTCCAAAATGATATTTTGCATAAAAACAATCATTTTAACAAACGTCGATTCTTTTTAGGAATGAGACGCCGCAGCTTTTCACTGTACTACCAGAGAGACGAGCTGGCTCCATAGGAGGAGCCATGATGGGCTCGACACACATCTACGACATGTCAGGGGTAAGACCGGAAGATGAGTTTAAAATGCTCGTCTGCAGATTGATCTCCCCTTCTGTTATCCTTTTATACTGATTGGTTTTTTTCTATTTTTCTGACTCCAGGCTATGGTGAGCCGTAAGGTCGGTGGAGGGCAGGAATCCCAGGGAGTGGAGGTGGCCCTGGCCCCCGAGGAGCTGGAGCTTGACCCGATGGCCATGACACAGAAGTATGAGGAGCACGTCAGAGAGCAGCAGGCCCAGGTGGAGAAGGAGGACTTCAGTGACATGGTGGCTGAGCACGCTGCCAAACAGAAGGTACTTAACACATGTGTATACACAGCTTGGTAATACGTTTTAAAGTCATAAAGGTTCATTTTTGAGGTCCCACATTACAAGTAAATCTGTCCCATAAAGAAGAAATACTGACGTTCTTTGTTTTCCTACTGTTGGTGGTTACTTCCACTAAATCTTTTTGCCCTTTGTTGCCAAACAGCAAAAAAAGAGGAAGGCCCAGCCACAGGACACACGAGGCAGCGCCAAGAAATACAAAGAGTTCAAGTTCTAGAGAAACGGCGAGGCGACGCACCGCGATGGATTTGGCCACAACAGGAAGTGAACGAGAATGAGACGTGCTCAAGTTTCCGAGGAGGCAGTCTGCAGCACCAATCAGCTGTCAGATCAGTAACCAGTGAATACAGGTTCTGTTCCTTCGTCATAGTTTATATTTCAACAATGTCGGCAGACTGGATTCGTGTAATTGCTTTCATATGAGAATGGTATTTCCTCTGTTTAACTCTTACTTTGAAGGTCCTTTTTTCATTTTTTTTTCTTTTGTAAATAAAGAAGATGATTAAACATCCAGCTGTTTTGTCTTAACATCAGTGTTATTTGACTCTTTGCAAATAGACTGCATAGATGACATACTGTTGGCTCAAAGGCAAAATATATGTCTAAGTCAGGTGATCTGTTTCACTCACCGGGAATCTACACCTATAATAAACAGTTTAAAAGGCTAAGAGCTTTGCTACGACATTGACCGTACGTAACCCTTTTCATCACACTAAAAAGTGAGGTAGTGATTAATTAGCTTGAAATTAGGTTCTGATGAGAGCTGATCATATAAACAGTCTATATGGTAGAAGCTAAAATTAAAGTATAAAACTATAGCTTCATAAAACTAAATTATAGCTACCAGTAAGTTTAGCTTTATAATTATAAACTATAGCTTTAGAAAACTATAGATAAGTTTAGCTTAATTAAACTAGCTAAGTTTATATTTCTAATGGTAAACTATAGCTTTCTAAAAACTAAAGCTAAGTTTAGCCTAATTAAACTAAACTATAATTAAGATTTGTTTTATAAAATAAATCTAACGCTAAGTTTAGGTTTTTAATATTAAGATGTAATTTAAGTTTAGTTTAAAAAACGCACAAGGAGAAGTAGTTTATGGGGGGGGGACCCAGCAGCACTTCTGTTTTTTTTTCTAAGTCTCCACCAAACTAATTTAAATGTTTACCAGGTGAACAGAAAATACAGTTCATAATCAAAGCTCTTTTTATTAAGGAAAAATAAAAACCTTACAGAGTCCTGTGTTAAAGCGTAAATGCCCCCTTTATCGTATTTTTGGAGAGCTGGGTTTAATTTCCCTGGCCACACCCAGCCCTGGTTACTGCCATAAGTAGAAAAGACACCAATATATTGTACTCAAGTAAAAAGAAAAATACACTGTTGAAATTTTTACTCAAGCACAAGTAAATTTACTTGTAAAAAATCTATTCAAGTTACAGTAAAAAAGTAAGTTATTTAAGTTTAATCTAAATTAGTTACTTTTTTACAGCAGGAGGGCCTCTGTCCTGTGTTGAACATGGAACAGAAGGATTTTCTTTTCTTCAAATGAGCTAATTAAAGACTTGCAGTTTAATATGCAATTACAAAATAAAACACGAGCACACATGATATTTCAAACTCTTGCAGAGAATAAATTATTATTTCAGTACATCTCATAGTATAGTGTTGTTCAGCAACAACAAATGTTGAATGAACTACAAAGCAGCTGGTAAAAAATATTAATGATACAGTTCTTGTTCAAAAAAATGTGTGTGTATATATACAGTATATATACATGAACACCAGACAACCCTGACGCCAATTACAACGGCTGAGTGAAGTACCATCAGAAAGTCTCATTGAAGATGTGAATGTAGC